TTTATTATTATGATATTAGTTGAAGTATGATCAAATAGCATAAAAAGATAGAGCTTTTTTTTCTCTATCAGACTACATAAAAAGAAAATTTCTTAAAGCCTACTTTGGAAGAAAAAATTGGAACTCTTACTACTTTTGGTATGCCCTAAGTAGTTAAAAAGAATGGGGAGTTTTAAATGTTACACTGGGGAGAGTTTTGATCATCGAAGTAACAATAATATAAAAGAAAGGGATGGACACAGTAGAGGACCCGGGTCTTATATCGCGTCCTAGCGCTCGTAACTTTGAAGGGGGTCTTTTAAAGCGTCCATAAAAAAGCCGATTTTGAGCTGAAATCGCTTGATCGAGAGTTCGCACTGTGTACAAAGCTGTGTATGCACACACTTCTTTTTGTCTAGCAGCTGTATATTCACTCTAACCCAGGTCGTCCATTCAGGCGTCAGGAATCTGCCGGATCCAACGTCGGAACATGCCGGAAGTTCGTGGAATTCGGTAAAATCCGGCAGCAACCATACCGGATCATGCTTGAAATCCGTTGCTCGGAATCCGTGCCGGAAGATCTTGGAAAAGATCCGACCGGATCCGAAACCTTCCGACCGATGAATCGGATTTCGCTGGATTTGACAGAATGTGACCAATTTTAAGGTTAAAAATAGTCTTAAATTTTTTCTTTCATTTTCTAGTGGTTCTTTTCTCTGTTCATTCGGGAGAGTGGAGGGGCCCGCTAGCTAGGACGTGTATAATACGTCTGTTGAACAGTGTGAGCGATGACTCACACTGTTAAGAATTTGAGAAGAACAACTTCTCATTTTTCATTTTCTGTAGTGTCGCATTTAAAGTGCTCCTGTCGTGAAACAAAACGGTGAATATATTATCCGCACTGGAAAGAAAAAAAAATAAAATGCACATCACACGATCCGTCGAAATCCGGTCACAGGAAATTAACGGATCCGCCTGGTTCTGGATATCTCCGGATCCTCCAGAAAAAAATATCGGAACGCGAAGGAATTGAGTACATTCCGATCTCCGGAAATCATCGGAATTAAAAGGATCCGGCAGGATCCAATCGGGTGAATTCGATCTGAGAACTGTTGAGGGAAAAGGCGAACGCAAAAATTAGTGTTTGATTGAACCTCAAAATCAACATATTTTAGGTCAAAAACTCGATAAAAGAAGGGGGTCTTCTATCTTAGGGGGTCCTCTATTGTGTCCATCTCTTTACGTAGATACACGTACATGGTCTAACATAGAAAGAAGATGCGCTTTGGGAGAAAAATAGAAGGAACTTAATGAGAGATACACAGTGGACAAGCAGACGGACATTTGGAGAAAACCCGAAAGTAAGCTTATATGAAATTCAAATAGCCTCATAAATACTCTAAAGTCTGGGCTGACGAAAAAAATTTTGTTCCAGCTGGCGAATTGCCGGAAGAAAACTATAAGTGAAAAACGACCTGCTAAAAAGCGTCTTTCGCCAGAAATTTTTTTTTTTGTATATTGGACTATATGATAAGTTATGAGGTATAGATGTTCGAAATCTGCACTGTTCCGCCTAGATTTCTGAAAAAAGATATTGTCTCAGAATTAAGCGTTACGGAGAAAACTGGTGTTTTCCTAAACGGAAGAGTGTTTCCGACTAGGGATGCAACGGGAACAGTAACCGCACCTTACCGGTTAGCGTGACCGGCCCAACCGGTTCTTACCGATTACTGTTACCGGTCTAACCGATTACCGCTACTGGTTTCAACCCACGACGATTGCAAAAGCTACAGTCAGAATTGTACATGTGCATATTATTTTTTGCCCCTTCTCCTTTGATACGAAATTTTTTATTAGATGTTTTTTCAAATCACTTCTTCTTGGAGAGCAAATGATTACTAGTATACCAAGAATTTGCTTCATAAAATAGTCAACATGTAAAACAATAAACTTGAAAAACAAAAGAAATATTTGCTACACAATTCAAAACACAAAATGAATGTTTCTTAAATCACACTTCTCTGTTAATCAACATAACGTTGAAGAAAAACACTTTTTAACATGGAACAATCAGTGTTACTCAAACTAACTTAAGAACTCACATCACTCACAGAACCGGTTGGACCGGTAACGGTAGCCGGTCGGAACCGGTTAGATCGGTAGCGGTTAACCGGTTGTCAACTGTTACCATTGCATCCCTATTTCCGACTGATGTCTCCAGTGCAGTAAAATCCTGAATTTTCCTAAAGTCTAATTCGATTCAAATTACATCAAAATGTTCGTCCACATATCCTGCATTCACCATGTATGCGCGAAAATGCGCGGATTGTCCTGGACCAATATACAGATTTTTCAAAAAAACCCTAGTTTTTGAGGGTTTTTTTCCTCAGCGGAACTTTTATTGAAAATTAATATGATATTCGGAATTAGCATGAGAAATTGATCGTGTGATGTATAATTTGTTAATTTTACAAATAAATGTCATACCTAAGGGGTTTTTTATCGAAAAAAAATTTGTTTTTGAATTCGAGCTTTTTTACTTTTATTAATATCTGACGCATAACAACATCATATTATGCGAAAATAATCATTTTTTAACTCCAAAAAACGAGAATTTCCGCCTGCTCTATGGCAAAAAATGCCTTCTGTGAGATACTAGTTATCCTCTTCAAGTCTGACCATATTACAAATAAAATTAACAACGACAAGGTAAACAAGTGTATATTCTTGTTTTGACAGAAAAATTCTCATGGCTAATAAGTCAAGGCTAACGACTAGGGTAGAATCTAAGATAGAAATCTTATTGAATAGAATTTTACTTTGGAAGTACTACAATACAATGTAAAAGATAATGTTGAATAGTTTCCTCCTCACCGCATTTATATATATTTGTTGTTGACAAATCTCTGATATTGTAAACGCACTTGATTCAGAAAATATGTTTTCATGTCTGAAAAAATTTTGATCAAATTGAATCGAAAAATTGAAAAAATAAAATGCTTTACGCTGCGGTTCAAAACAAACTATTTCTTTTTCGTTCTTCAAACATTTTGAGAGTATTTTTCTTGCAGACATTAATGTGTTTGTAATTTTCATTTTCTTTTAAAACAATACTTTCATTGTTATATTATGTTTCTCAATGATTTTTCTGATGAAATAAATATAGTTTTCTACTACATAAACATGAGACGAGGAATATCGAGAGAACAATTCTGTACCTTGTTCACAGTCACAGCATTAAAGAAATACGTTTTTTAAAAAGTCATTCTATAAAAAGACAGCGGTTTTCGTCGTTGTTTAAAAATAACTTAAATTTCGCGTTTTGTTGAGACTGCTCTGGTGCTCTGGTAGAAAACTTTTTGATGGGCGCATCACACTGTTAGCTTATGTTTAACATAACTGCGAACTCTCTAACATCTATCTCGCTGAAGGTTTTGGAAAATACGAGTAGCTGTGAATGTAACAATCGATTATGAAAGAAAACGCTGTTAAACTATGTTGCTGCCTTTTAGAGCTTGATGCTGATAAAAGTGATTGTAACTGTTAATCATAGGTAAGGTCATACAGAGTTGCGTGCGCAACGTCTTAGTTGAGGAGAAAAATTTTAATTGCATATGAATATCGAAGAAGAAACGAGTCGTTAAAGGTCATGTTTCGCGATGCTCCTAGAAATCAATTCTGAAGCACGTAGTGAGCAACAATTGTTAGGAGGGAATGAATTTTTCAGCTGTATTTATGATAATCTTGTATAAATCTAGGTTTATAGTCATTGAAAAATGTATTCTTCCTCTGTCCTTCTTTATAAACTGCTAAACTGTGGTATTGTTCATTCATGAAAACTTGTTTACATAGTATAGATGTGTCCACACAAAATAGTAGCGAAGCGAAAGAAAGAATATCATCTCTATTTATCGATATTACGCTGAATATCATCGTATTAGCTGTACAGAAGAAAAAGAAAAAAAAAAGTATCGTCATTTAAACACATGATCGATCATATGTTCCACGAGCAATTGTCTTATACCGAATAAATCTGTCTTCTAGTAAGGACAGACATGAGCTCCATCAAAAAACCTTAAGCTTACATTTAACATCATTAATTGATTTGCCATGAAAACTAAACTAATTACTATCAACTTGTCTTGGAAGTGCTCTGAAAACGTTTGAACCCAAAAGAAGTCCATCCTCTATAACTTGATCCACTGCGTTTCTATTCTGTCCAGGATTTCAGTTAAAGTTAGAGCTGCGAGTTTTCTGATGAACTTGGATTTGACTATAAGTTTAATGTTAGTTTTAAATTGTAGTATGCAGTAATCTCCCTATAGTAGCGGATACATCCATTATAGTTGAGTTATAACAAAATCGGGACATTAGACATACTCAGTCGTTATTAGTTACGGGCTGCGAGAACGCGCTAGAGCTCGATCTCGATATTGAACTCAATTAAACTGAGTTTATTTTGGCAACAAATAATCCTAGACACAGAAAAAAACAAAAATACAGTTTGTTGCACAAGAAAGCAGGAAAAAGTGTGTGAGTAAACAAGAACTTATGCGTAAGTTCGACCAAGATGAATCACATATCATTGAGCGCAGATTTTAATGCCAATCGTAGATATGAATAATAATTTCACAGAATATTGTCATCAACAGTGAGAAGTCATCCGAAAATTTCAAATCAAATTTTCTTCTGGTTATCACTTATATAGGTTGCAGCTAAGCTCAAGCATAGCGAGAGTGTTGTTTATTTTCGATGCTTTTGCTAGTGCTTCACCTCCTTCCTTGGAAATCAGATTGCTGTCAAGATGAAGTTGAGTGAGAGTGCTGTTTACTTCAGTCCATCTGCCAGTGCTCCAGCTCCTCTATCGGATATTTGGTTGCCTGTAAGATGAAGTATACTCAGAGTACTGTTTATTTTCAGTGCTTCTACTAGTGATCCACCTCCTCGCTCGGATATTTTGTTATATCCAAGATCAAGGTGAGTGAGAGTTCTGTTTACTTTCAGTGCTTCTGCTAGTGCTTCACCTCCTCTATCGGATATTTTGTTATATCCAAGATCAAGGTGAGTGAGAGTGTTGTTTACTTTCAGTGCTTCTGCTAGTGCTTCACCTCCTCGCTCGGATATTTGGTTCGTTCTAAGATGAAGTTGAGTGAGAGTGTTGTTTACTTTCAGTGCTTCTGCTAGTGCTTCACCTCCTCGCTCGGATATTTTGTTATATCCAAGATCAAGGTGAGTGAGAGTGTTGTTTACTTTCAGTGCTTCTGCTAGTGCTTCACCTCCTCGCTCGGATATTTGGTTCCCTTCAAGATGAAGTTGAGTGAGAGTGTTGTTTACTTTCAATGCTTCTGCTAGTGCTTCACCTCCTCTGTCGGATATATGGTTCCCATAGAGATCAAGTTGAGTGAGAGTGTTGTTTACTTTCAGTCCTTCTGCCACTGCTTCACCTCCTCTATCGGATATTTGGTTCCCTTCAAGATGAAGTTGAGTGAGAGTGTTGTTTACTTTCAGTCCTTCTGCCAGTGCTTCACCTCCTCCATCGGATATTTGGTTGTGTGCAAGATCAAGTTGAGTCAGGGTTTTGTTTACTTTCAACTCGTTTGCAAGTTTGGCAGTGGCTTGTTCAATCGTGTACTGAGCCGTCGTGTTCCCTGGGTCGTTGAACTTCATAAGCAGTCTCAGTAACGATAGTTGGGTCATACAGGACAGCTGGGGCACGAGGACTTCGACCACTTGTTCTGGTTTGATGGCGAGCAACGATAAGGAGCGAAGATTCACTAATGTCTTCTTGGGTAGGTGGATGAAGAACAACTGAAAGTAGTCGGAAGTCTCTTTAGACAGACACAGAGATCGAACTTGTGCCTTTGATGGAAAGTGTTTGCACATAAAGTCACATCTGAATTTACTGATGCAATGAAAGTTCAGATCAAACTGTAGACTGCCGAGTAGTCCATCGAAGCGATCGTTTAGTCGAAGAAACGAATGGAGAATGTCATAGGCGTGCAAATACTCGAAGATTTCAAGAATAACTTCGTGCGGAAGCGATTGAAATTGTGTCACATCTAAGCAAATGTGCATTATCAAGAGTTCACATTCTTGGTTTCACTTAGATAAAGAGAGCTTCTGAAGGATACAAGGCTGAGGATGGTAAGGTGCATACCCACTCTCGACAATGACTAGTAGTGTTACATTCAGTGATGGTTCTTCCGAGTATTAGACACGGTTGTATGGATTGATAGCTAGCCATTAGCATTTTACTATGGTCATGACCATGGATGTCATCGCTCTTTCTCCACTATCCTCAACATTTTCCAATCATCAGATGTGTGTGTACCGCGCTACAAATAGTTAAAGAACATATGATCAACTTACCGTTCTGTGCTTGCTCCAAACATTCATCGTGTCCACAACTAGTGAGCAATCGATCTGATAAATAGTGTTGCATCCCTCTTTACGATATGCAATCGACGTTTGTATTCATTTTGGTGTCAAGTGTAAGCAGAGGACTGAATAAGGGCGATGTTGTTGTCACCGTCATTTAAGTATTTTCATGGTGACATCACTCTTTTCTGTTTTTCTTTTGTGCTGTCATTACTCAACAGAAACGAAGCTCGTTGTTTGAGTTGTGAAATAACAAAACAGC